ATTGAAAACAACTGTCAAACAACTGTAACCAGGGAGACGCAAATCCCACCGACGACTTAATTATTTTAATTTCTAACATCTAGACGACTTTGATAGTTGTCACAGTTAATTTCGTGTAAAAATAGCGTATGAATTGTACTATTTATGGTTGAAAATTGCTAGGTTTGAAGAAAAAATAGTATACTTTATTCGACAAAGAAGCGACTTTTCTTGACTTGCCCTCTATTACGTAATATCGGGCGCGTCAAGAAAAGCAATGCTTCTCCGCCTCATAAAGTAATATACTATTCCAATATCAGAAATTATTCAGTTTAAACATACGTATTTTTATTTACATTCAAAGCACGAAAAAGTTCTTGGCTCCATTAACGGCATTTGGTGCATTGGATTATGTCTTTAATTGTTTATCCTCGCAAATTGAACAGAACCACTCACCAACACACATCTCTTAAACAACGTCAGGTTGATTTAAGCTTGACACGGCATTTAGAAGAACAGAGTTTGTAGGATTTTCACATTTCTTTTTTGCTAAGTTTTTCTAGACAGCTTCTTTGTTCCTTTTAATACCAGTTTTACCTTCTAGTTTCATTTTTTAAGTACTTACAAGCTTCTTGGACGATTTTGGTTTAACCTTCTTTAATTTTATTTTTATTTGTTTTATCTGTTCCTGCGCTAACTGTTGTTTAGTTAATTCGAATTCATGTTTATAGGGACTTTTCGTCAAAACCATTGCCTGTTGTGCTGTTCACTTCTTGGATTTTGGAGGAGGCTTCGGTATCGGAGAAATTTAATCAATGGTTTTATTCTCGTATTTAAAATTTAGTATTTAAAAACTAATAAATAATAAAAAAATAATAGTTAACGAATTAAAACAACCAGCTAAATATCAAAATAGGATATTAAAACGACATGATATGATAAATATATGAGTATTATAATTATCTTTGTAATTTCACTTAAAATTCGGTAAAACAAAAAAAGGCCCCATGTGGGATTCGAACCCACGACCTCCACGTCGATATAATCAGTGTGGTGCTCTAACCAACTGAGCTAACGAGGCGATGTACAATTTTGGACTATTCTCGAATACACTCAAGTTAAAATCTATTTTTAGTTACAAAATGTTTATCTTATCGTACATCTAGTGAGTAAAAGACCTCAGGAAAAACTTTTTTGTTATTACCATGGACGTATAAATAAAGATTACCTATTGGAAACAATCTTATTCTTCACAAAAGTTTCTAACCTAAAATATAACCGTCAGGTATCAAATTTTTTGGGGCATATACGAGGTATATAAAAAAATATGAACTTTGCTTAATATGAGTTTTGACCTTGTTTTGACAATATCGAAATAATTCCAGAGAAAAAATAAATAAATTTATGGAACAAGTTTCTAGGAGGACATAATCTTTGATGGATTCTATGATTAATTTTGACTGAAAATTAATTTCATCCCCGTGGTCTCGAAATAGTCTTCCTTTAACTCGAATTCTATTAGAAATTGTATAGTAAGTGTATAAACAAAAGAGAGTATTTTCGAAGTTTTTTCTTGCCTTTATAACCGAAACAACTGTTCTATATATTGTTCTGAAGCTATTTTCTTGTGTCATTTTAAATTAATTACTATTTAACTGGGAATAAGCCACAATTAAAGATAAAAAAATACGTTTATTGACGTTTCAATTTCCACTTCGGAAATCGTTCTCAAAATAGAAATCGTAAATCAGGAATCGTAATCAGGAAATCGTTCTACAAACAGTAAATTAAACAAATTTTGTTTTTTGTTACATAGTGAAAAATTCTTGTAATAATTTAATTTTATCTGACTCATTTATATTGACAATTCAGACATACATTATGCATTTTAAAGTAGACGACGTTAAAATGATATTGCCAATATTGTTGAGTTGCGCTCCTGGGACGACTTTACTTATAAGATAGTTCATTCGATTACATGAAATCAACTTTAACTTGTGAATATCCGTCGACTCAAAATGACGACTCCATAATCATCCTACCAGCAGACAAGGGGAATGCAACTGTGATAATGGATAAAATTCAATACGGAAACAAAATTAAAGATCTAATAATAAACGGACCTTATACAAAATTAACAAAAGATCCAACAAAGCCTTTGGAAAACAAAATATACAGAACTTTATTCAAGTTTAAAGATTTTTTAACAAGTTATCAGAGAGGATTAATTACACCTCATTACAGTAAGACTCCTCATTTTTATGGAGTACCGAAAATTCATAAAACGAATATACCACTTAGACCCATTTGTAGTAACATGAATTCTCCTTGTAGTGAACTATCAAAATTTTTATTAAATATTTTCAAACCATTTACAAATAAAAATGACACATTCATAAAAAATACACAACATTTTTTAAATAAATTATCAAATATTGAATTTAATTCAAATAATACTTTGGTAAGTTTTGACATAAAAAGTTTATTTACGAATGTGCCATTAAATAAGACTTTAAGTATAGTCAAGACAAAATTAGAGAGTGATGATTCATTGGCAACTAGAACAAGACTAAACATATCGGCTATAATGGAGTTATTAACATTACGTACTGATAATACATATTTTCAACTAAATAATGAATTCTATAAACAAAATTTTGGTCTAGCAATGGGCTCTAGTTTATCTCCATTCTTAGCCGATATATTGATGGAAGATTTTGAAACAAATATCATTTCTAAATAAAATTTAAAACCCGCAGTATGGTGGAGGTATGTAGATGATGTATTCTCAATATGGCTTCATGGATCAGAGTTGTTGGACACATTCCTAAATGATATAAACGATAAAGAAGAGACAATAACATTTACCATGGAAAAGGAATATAATAACACGCTACCTTTCCTGGAGGTTTTAATCTCTAAGAACGAAACTGGATATAAGACTCAGGTGTATAGAAAACCAACACACATCAATAGATATTTAAATTTCAAACCAAATCACAATATTAATATAAAAAAGGGAATAATTAAATAAGGAATTTTCAACAATCGATCTAATAGAACAGAACAACTTAAAATGAGATCCTACAGCATACACAAGGAATAATACGAGGAAAATAACAATACCGTACATACAACGATTATCAGAAAAACTTAAAAGGATAGGAAATAAATTCAACATTTCAACAACATTCAAAACAATAAACACGTTGAGATCTATTTTGTCCAAAACCAAACCTAACAATGAACAAGAAAGGACAAAGAATTGCATTTATAAAATACCTTGTGAATGCGATCAGTTTTATTTAGGTGAAACATCAAGGCCATTAAATATTAGAATAAGTGAACATCAATGTTATATTAAAAATAGAGAATTTGATAGATCTCAAATATGTAAACACGCATCGGATAATGAACATAGGGTTCAATGAAAGAATTCAAATGTAGTCCTAAAAGAAACGGATGGTAAAAAAAGAAAAATCAAAGAAGCGGCTCTAATTATGCTTAATGAGGCCAATTGTGTCGCAAATTCCTCGGCAGAATGTAGTACGATCTGGTTACCAATATTGAAAGACTAAGTTATTAATAAGAAAATACCAGTATTAGTAAGTCAGTAACATATAGAGGATACATCATTTATGTTTTTTAAATAACGAAACATAGAAAATCAGAATTTTGGTGTTTATTGAAGGTAAACTAAATGCACGAACAAATACTTACCATGTCGAGATAGTATTATGAAGTTTTTTCCTGGTTTTTTCCCTCATAATTTACTATGGAATCACTAACAGGAGAATTTTACTGTCATCATATCATGTATTTGTCTTGTTAAAAATGAATTACATGCTATGATTTTTTTCTGACGGATATTCTCAAGTTAAATTTGATTTCATGTAATCGAATGAACTATCTTATAAGTAAAGTCGTCAACTCAACAATATTGGCAATATCATTTTAAAGTCGTCTACTTTAAAATGCTTAATGTATGTCTGAATTGTCAATGTAAATGAGTCAAATAAAATTAAATTATTAGAAGAATTTTTCACTATGTAACAAAAAACAAAATTTGTTTAATTTACTGTTTGTATTTTGAGAACGATTTCCGAAGTGGAAATTGAAACGTCAAAAAACGTATTTTTTTTATGTTTAATTGTGGCTTATTCCCAGTTAAATAGTAATAAACTGTTCTAGGTAATACACAATAACACAGAACAGGAAGTACCGGCTCCAGTGGTTTTTGTTGTGACTGCATTATTTTGTTAAATTTTTTTGTCTAGTCGTCTGAAACTTGATTGCTTAAAACGAGAAGAACGAGCTGAAATTTGTCAACTCAATATTTTATTTTATAACCCTAAAATACAAACGAGTCCTAAAATTTGTATAATACTTTTTTATCCGCATCGATATTTGTGTATTTTTTTGATATAATTTAGATATTAGAGATCAAAGAACTTTCATTTACTGTCAAAAATATGTTTTCTAATTTATTTAATTTTGCCATCATTTGGCTTGATGGCTTCGAGTCCCAGTTTCGATAAATAGTCTACCCATGTTTAACCGTCTTCTGAAGATTCTACATTTTTAATTTTAGGTAAATAGAAATAAATAAAACGATTTATCACAATCAATTTATTCTACTACAAACGACTGGTGTCACATACTACAATTTACTATGCATCATCATGTCTCCGGTAGGGTAAAATAAATGCTGAAATTATATGAATGTTACTTACATGCCGATACAAAGAATGTTCTTATTATGTACATGGAACCATACTTAAAGCTCAGTTATGCTAGGTGGTGTTTGGTGGTCATCGGCTTTACTGAGCTTTTTACTGCCTTGCTCAAGAACTTCCCAATATTTGTCAAAATACTTATTATTGTAATATTATTGTCTGCAATTGCTTCCTATCTAGTATACTGTTTTTCTTTATATATATATATATATATATATATATATATATATATATATATATATATATATATTTAATAACTTATTCACATAAACTTTTTTGTTACAGGAGGCATGTTTGCACAAGAAATGTAGATAAACCAATGAAGACCAAGCAGGCCTACTGTAAGCCTACTTTTAAGAACTACGTTATAAGGTGTCAAGGAAACCAAATTTGTAAAGGAGTAAGGTAAGTCAAAGAAGTAAAATATCTGCTTATTTATTACTAAAATTTTGCCAAAATTGATTAATTTACGCTTTTAAAGCATAAATAGACAAAGCGAAAAGCTCGGGTTCTGAAAAATATTCCCAGAAGATTCTTTTGCATAATCATTTTTATGAGATACCCCAAAATAAGATTCATGAGATCGATTAGGCGAAAAGTTAAAATTTGTTTAAACATTTTTTTTTTTACAAATTGTAACGATAACTTTTTTGGGTCCGGATAATTTTTTTTAGGTTTTTGTGATCATTATGATCAGAGAAATTTTTCTCTAAACTTGATCGCTTTCCAGTTATAAATAATTTAAAACTGAAAAAACTCAAAACGGCCGGTAGACTGTGTTCTTTTCACTCAGTGACGTCTCCCATCCAACCCTAGACCAAGAGGCAATGATGAGGAATTATCGACGGTGACTTCTTCAGGTACTGCTACACAAGCTGGATGAAGGGCTGACTGTAATTGACGCTTTAAAGAAGATCACGGTTAAAGATGTATGCTACCGGATTGCATCTGCCTGGGATGACATAAAAGTGTCTACTATTTAAAAATTATGGAAAAAATTATTTCAGATAGAAACCAATCCTTCAATAAGAAACTGGTAACTGTGAAATTGATACTATAGCCAACCTAGCCAATTAATTAGCAGTTAAACAACCATTTGGAAATCAAGACGTCATCGATTGGATTAATAGAGATGAAGAAATGGAGCTGAAAGATGATGCAATTGCCGATATAGTTCTGAACATCGACCATAAAGAATAGATAGTCCTTTAGATAGTCCCTTTTGCAGATCATATAGATCATGACTGCAAACTTCCTTAGACCCTAAGAGTTCTTGTATACGAGTTGGCATTAAAATTAACTTTTCCATACAGGACCAAAGTCTTACTGTCCAAAATCATTTCAATGAATTTTACGCAGATTGTACAGCTGTATATCTGTAAGTATCTGGGCCATGAGTTTTAATAAGAGATAAACAAACAACAGATTAAATATGAGAATAAGGCTAACATGAAGATTACGAAAAACTAGGGGAAATCTTTAGATCAGATATCTCCAAGTGTGCACTAGCGTATGGAGCAGAAACAGTGACCCTTACCAGAAAAGTAATCAATAAAATACAAGTGCCAAAGAGATCAATGGAGAGTCCAATGTTGAATATATCCCTCAGAGACAGAGTTTCAAATCAAATTTTTAGGAAAAAACTAGCCTTACGGATACAGATAAAAAAATGATAAGGCTGAAATGAAACTAATAGGGCCATGTTTAGTCACGATGGTTACTGTAATCGAGTACGTCCTCTAAAAAGATGGTCGGATTACATCAAACGTATCCAGCACAACTGGATTCAAGTGCTCAAGAGGCCTATGTTCAGCTGCTTCATCTTCTTGTAGTACCTGCTAGTGCTGAAAAGATTTGTGGTTGTTGTGTTGAACCACGTATGTAGATTTTTCAGCCAGGAAATTCTTCGCCTACCTGGTCCTCGTTTTCCTTCTGCTTTTCCTTGTAGAAGTATGTTCAGCAGTGGACTTAAAACGGCTAGCGATGATGATGTGTAGGAATACATAGACATCTGAAGTGTAGTCACCCAAATAGTAAATACGTAATAGTTAACACACCAGTTCTTATAACTTTGCTTATTTGGGATTAAAAAACGTAGAATGAGTTCATAAAAAATCAAAAGGGCCCATGTGGGATTCGAACCCACGACCTCCACGTCGATATAATCAGTGTGGTGCTCTAACCAACTGAGCTAACGAGCCAATTGTATTACAATTTGTTATTCTTGAAAGAAGTCTAGTTTTATTATATTTTTAGCTACAATATTTTACGCCAACAAATACTTCAAGGTTCAAGGATATTTACGTTGGAGAATACAGTTAATTTATTTGTATGGGAGTGTGAAATAAATAAACCAACGGAGCAGTTCATGATTTTTATGTCTTAATATTAAGTTTATCATCCTTAGATTGAATGTTAAATTTACCATTCCATTTGGGCAGAGCCGGCGTTAGCATTTATGAAAACGGCGGAAAAGAATAGATACTCTAATTTACCAGTACTAGGGAGTAAAATCACAAAAAAATTGTTTTAAAGCTAGGTTGCTAAGTAATGTATATTCAGTGTAAAATTATAAATTTAATGCAAGAGAAGTTAATTTATGTAAATATCTTACGATAACTATAAATAGGGGAACGACGGGTAATTACGAACACTTAAGGAAAATAATTGTTTATTTCAAATATAAAAATGTTGAAAACAGCTATTAATTTTTGTTATTGGATAATCAAAAATAAAAATTTTAATAATAAAAAACTCAATTAAAAATTGTCACGAAATGTTCGCTGTCACCCGAAAGGTCGGGTAATAATAAACATGAGAAGAGTAATGGCGAACAGTATTACCTATTAACAAAAATCACATTTATAGTTGTCCGGTGTGTCCGAGCCGCTGCACAATTTATCCACCACCACATATAATGCAACGGAACCAAAGTTCGCTTTTCCCGAACTCACCACAAATTAAACAAGATTCTCCTTCATTACGATCGTCGGTATTAATATCGTCATTGTCATCAAATTCATCATCTTTATATGATGTCGAATCTTCCTCTTCGCTTGAAGATTGTAGTACTTTTCTCTTTGCAGTTTTATTTTTCTTTTAAAAATTTTTGTTTTTCAATTTCTTTTTCCATTTTTTGTTTCCTTCTAAGCTCCTTTTGTTCGAGTTCTAATTTCAAAGGCGTTGAGGTTAATATTTCGGATCTTTGTTTTTCTCTTCCACCCTTCTTCGGAATAGATATCTTTTGTTTTTCTTTCGGTAAAGGCAGTAATCGCTGAATGAAACATTTTCGGTATTTTCACATATCTGGTTTTCTTTGGAAGGGCCTGGTTGGGGTTCGAGTAAATCTTCTTGAATAGTTTGTGAAAGACCTTCTTGGCTACTATTTTGTTGAGTTTGATTATCGTTTGAACTGTAAAAGGCTTCTTCATTAAATGTATTTCGGTTGAATGGAAAAATTCCGGTCTTCTTAAAACCATTTGCGGCTTTGTCCATACTTGCAACTCTAGTATACGCCTTTGAGAATAAAGTGCTTATATGGCACATTTCAATTTTCTCATAGGGTTGAGATTTTAAAAACGAATCACATTCAATGTCATATGCTCGCTTCAATGATGAGAAAAAGCTAACGTCTAGTGGTTGCAGACGATGCGAGTTATGTGGAGGTATTGACAGCATAATGATACCATTTTCTTTGCAAAAAATATAAATTGCAATAGAGCAATGACTGAAGTGATTGTCCAGCACCAGTAAAATGGGATCATCTCTTGTAGGTTTATTGGTTTCCGCAAAATGTTGAATCTAAAACAGGAACACTTCTTCGTTCATCCAACCGCTTTTTGAACAGGAGTACAAAGAACCTGGAGGCCCATCCTTTTCTAAAGCAGGCTTTCTTCTCAGTCTTGGATAAATGAATAGTGGAGGTGTAAAAGATCCGCTGGCACTCATACAACTACATACCGTCACGTTCTTGCCTCTTTCTACACTTGTAACGGCTCCAACTTGTTTTTGGCCTCTAGGTCCAATGATCCGATTAGACCTATTTACGTTTTTAATGCCAGTCTCATCGACATTAAATATTCGAGTAAATGGAAACTTGTATTCTTCGTACAGCTTACTTAAATTGTCATAAAACCTTGAGACTTGATCCTTATTGAAACCTTGAATGCGATTAAGACTTGTTGCTTCAGGTTTACGGAAACTTAACTCAGGATGCCTTGACATGAATCCCTATAACCAGTCTTTACATGCTTCTTGTTTTTCTCTGTTGAAACTATGTTTTAAGTTTAATTTCTCTGCATAGGCGAAGGCCTCTTTTCGCAACTGAATTGGGGTTAATCCATAAAATATTTTAGATAACGTTAGTAAATGACGACTCATTTCTTCTTCCTGTTCATTTGAAAAGAGAGTGTTTGCACCCAGCCTGTCTTTGTAAAAGCCTCTAGAGACTCTGTTTTGTAATGTTGTAACAGGTATATTAAATTGGCGTCCAACTTCCCTTAGGCCGTAACGTCTTTCTTCAATTGCCTTTAGAGCAGCTTTCATTTGATCATCAGTCTATGAAAATTTGTTGGTACTTCGTTTCCATTTAAAAGGCATCTGAAAAAGATACAAATTGTTAAATAAGCAAAAGAAAAGCAAAAATGTAAAGAATCTAAGCCAAATTATTAAAAGAGTAAACGCGAACACTTGGCGGGTAATCGCGAACATCTGTTCGTGATTAATATTTCGTCTGTAACATGAAAATATTGACGAACATCTGTTCGTCAATATTTTCATGCTTAGTATCTAAGATACGATCCTCAGAGAAAATGTCTAGTGCATTATTTGCTTGCAAAGTTTTCATAGTTCGTTGTGATCTGTTATGATGTAATTATCTTTTGTTATTTTTAAGTAGTTACATTTTCTGAAGGTGTTCATTATTTCTTTGAGTCCTTCATGGAAGCTGAAAGAGTGGTTCAGTCAATACATATCATATTTTTGATTCTTCTAGTCAAAAATTCTTTTATAAAACTTTATTCTTTATTATGTAACCATTTTCGGAGTTTCTTCCTTTTACAGACTTGTATACGAGACTCATTACAAAGATGTGGTGTCCACTAAAACTTCCAATGAAGTAATTTATGCCTGTTGTCCAGGTTGGACACAAGCCACTAATAGAAGTAATGGCTGCAATAGAGGTAAGTGTTTTTATATTCTCTATATTAAAATATTCATAATTTATTCGAAATGGATCACATAGAATACCTAAAAAGAGTCATTCATAATAAATTTTGACATCACAGAAACATTATATTTATCTTTAAATTATTATAATATATTATTTATAATAAGTAAAAGAAATACGACTTACTAACAATCAGTTTAATTTAACTATCTAGACGACCGGTTTCGCTTTCTACAATTTGCAAAGCATCTTCAGGTCAGTCGATATAAAGTTAATTAAATGCTGAAATAATAAAACCCATATTAGGGCGTTGTTTTATAAAGATAAACAAAAGATAAATAATATAAATTACAGTAATTATGCCAATATTATATGTTGTTTTTTATATTAATAAACTGTTTAAGCAGAGAAAGTAAGACCCACAAATTGGTATAAAATAATCTATTGAATTTTAATAAATTAGTAAATAAACAAAACATTACTTACATACCGGTACACGATTAATTAATGGTTGGGAGAACATAGTTCAAACTATCCTGTAATTGCTGATGATGGGGGTCTTCAGTTTATACTATTGTAACTGTTTGACAATCAACGGGGAAGTTTCTTAAGGAGATAGATTTTATCCAATGAAGTAGAAAGTAGGTGTAATGTAATTGTTTTTTAAATGAAAGTGATGTTGTGTATTATTTAATTCTTTAAAAGTTATTTATATTTATTCAAGAGATATATTTTCGAAATGTGTGTTATTTATTGAAATTTTTTTATTAAGGTGATAGTTGTATGACAATGAATGAAATTAGATGTACAATTGTGCGGATGTGCAAATTCCTTTAACTTCTAATTATCATTTTTTTATATAAGGTGCAGTTAGCTTATTGTTATTTGGCAGATGATTGTAAAGTCAAGTAAGTTAAAATTATTAAAACTAAAACAGTTAGGGACACTTAGGGACAACCAAAACACACTTAAAAGGATAAAAAAATTCAATAACAATTAGTATATATATATATAGCGAGTGTTTGCAACTTTAATTTTGTCGCTTCTCGCATCCCAATCGCCATAATTTCTTATCGGCCCAGTCTCCTTCTTCAAGACCTCTATTTTCCATTTCTATATGAATATTGGATATCCATTTCTTTCTTGGCCTTCCCCTTTTATTTCTCTGTGTAGGTCTCCAGTTCCAAACCTTTCGTGGTATCCTTTCTTCGTTCATCCGTCTTAGGTGTCCATACCATTTTAATTGTTTTTCGGCTATCGTATCCATTATTGTGTTCTTTACTTTCATTCTCTCTCTTATGTTTTCATTTCTTATGTGGTCAAATAAAGTTAACCCGGAACATCTTCTCCAGTACATCATTTCCGTTGAGAGGAGTTTTTGTGACATATTATTGTTAAAGACCCACACTTCTGACCCATACGTCAGCACCGGCTGAATCATAGCCTGATATATATTTTTCTTTGTTTTCTTAGTTAAAGTTTTATTCCACAGGATCGGATGTAGTGTTTTTATCATGTTTTTTCCTTTTCCTATTTTTCTTTTTATATCTTTGTCGTCTCTCCCGTCTTCGCTTAGTGTAACTCCGAGATATTCGTACTGATCAACGTTTTTAATTAATCCGCTTTCTGTTTCCCTATCTTGACCGATGCCTCCTATATTCATGTATTGTGTCTTTTCGGTATTAACCTCTAATCCCCATTTTTTGAATTCGTCTATTAGTTTGTTTATCATGTACGTCATATCTTGTAGGTCCTCGGCAAGAACTACCTGGTCGTCTGCGAAGAGGATTGTATATATAGGAGTGTCATTTACCCATATGCCTATTGGGCTGCATTTTCTCATCCAATGTTTTAAGGCATTACCAAGATATATTTTAAATAGGGTTGGAGAGAGGCAAGAGCCCTGTTTGACACCCTTTGTTTGGGTGAAACCCTTGGAAATTTGGTTTCTAACCTTAATATAAGCTTGGTTATCTTGATATAGCTTTTTCACGGCATTTATGTATACTGCATTTATACCTGCGTTTTCCAATGTCCATAGTCTCTGCAGTGGTACGGAGTCAAACGCTTTACGGAGATCTATAAAAGTGGCATGAAGTTCTAGTCCTCTTGCTAATCTCTTTTCCGTTAGGTGTTTGAGAGTAAATACATTGTCGACGCAAGATCTCCCTGGTCGGAATCTACTTTGTTCTTCGATCTCTGTGGCTTCTTTTTCTATTCTGGCTTTCAGAACTCTTTCATACAGTTTGCCAGTGGATGACGTAATGCTGATACCTCGGTAATTACTGCAGTCATTCCTGTTTCCCTTTTTGTAGATGGAGTTTATGTACGAGACTTTCCAATCTCTTGGGATACTTTCTCCTTGTAGGCACTTGTTAAACATTTTACAAAGCAATTCTAATGTTATTGCAGTGGCATGTTTGAATAACTCGATAGGTAAATCACCTGGCCCAGGAGCTTTATTATTTTTCATTTTTTGTAATGCGTTAGTACTAAACAATTAGTACCTATACTAAATTATTTGTAAAACAAATTAAGAAAATATTTTATTGACTTAACTATGCATTATAAAAAACAACCTTGCAAAGAAATCACTGCAAGTAATACTAATATAATAAAACATACTTCGCCTATGCAGACATCATCATCATCTTTGGCTCTACAACCCTGGGTGAATCTTGGCCTGTTCAAGAATTAGTCTCCATTCCCCCCTATCTTTCGCCTTGGCTTTCCAATTTCTGACATCTAGATTCCTCAAGTCATCTTCGACTTGAATTTTGAATCTAGATCTTGGCCTGCCTCTCCTCCTGGTTCCTATTGTCTCTTGATAGAATATCTGTCTTTGGGGGTCTCCAGGGTCCATACTTTCAAGGCCTAACCACCTTAGTCTAATAATTTTAATAGACCAGACGATGTTGCATTTTTTATAGTGCAACATCATTTCAATTCTAAGAAGCAAGTATATGTTTTTACGTGTAAATAGTGGCGGTAAGATGAGCAGTTGGATGTAATTAGGGCTTGAATCCAGCACTATCAAGCGAGGCTCTTGGTGAAAACCTACCTAGAATAGATCGGCAGTTAACGTGTTAAGTTATTTCACTCTCAAAGTGAATCTTACTGATTTCTTTGGAAAAGACACTGAAAAATATTAGCAACAACACATTGTCATGCCTGATATCAATCTGCATTTGTAAAAGAATTGGTCAAGTTTAGTTTAGCTATTGACTAATAAAAAATAGTAGTTTACGGTGATTTTTTAAATACATTATGACCTAAAGCCTTTTTAAAATATTGTAATTTAACATTGTCTGTACTGGACAGCTACGTAATTTACATACCAACAAATCAGATACCGCTCATTTCTTTGAGATCCATTTGATTTATTCCGCAATATTTAGCAAGACATTTTAGTTTTGCGGTTCTACCATTAAAAGAAATTAAAATGCCATCCATCTGCAGTTATAACACCTTGTCAGTTCTCAAACCGCTCTATTATTTCCGAGGAGCAACGTTTTTCACGACGTCTGCGTTGGAGTTAAGGGAATAAAAATCTACCGTGACTAAACCATATCTAATAATAAATAATGCCAGTGCTTGTCTTGCGTTTCCTAGGAAGGTTTTTATGATGGTTCGCTTAACGAACCCATAAAATTACTCGTAAATAATGCGTCGAGAAGAAGAGACAAAAACTGTGAATAATCATAAAACTCATCAGTGGGTGGATAGATGTGAGGATGAATGTGATTTTTAGTACCTATTTCAAAAGATATCAAGCCGAAAAAAGTAATATATAAGACATTATAAAAAGAAACTTAATATTATTATAATTCATTTTTGGTTAAACATAAAAATATTGTCGCATTTATTACTAGAGTGAGGAAAATAAATATCGTAGGTCGTGTGCCGGTCTTCTTCTTGCATTTCTCGGATTTGCATATCATTTTAAAATCTACACCCTAATTAACCCGGCGTCACACAGATGGGTTCTAATGGTATCCCCAATACACTTAGAACTATAATAGTTATAGCATAATTCTATGGTTAATACTCCCATGTTTTATTGGTTGCCTAGAGCTTCCTAAAACATGTTGACGTTGGGTATTCTAAAAAACCAATTTCAGTTGTAAGTTGATCGTCAAAGTGAGTACAGTATTCTACAATCCTATTACACCCACCTGGGTGACGAAGACACAATTTTAATTCGCAAGGTAACTAAGACAATTTTAATTCGTGGCGTTATTTGTTGTACATATTAACTTTTTTTTCTAGAATGAATTACGAAAAAGAATAAGCCAAACTATTGGCACTTTGGTAGGAACTCGAAGATGATGAGTACTTCAGATTTGTAGATGTCTTATTAGTTCTAAAATAGACTACCGCAGTTTCATTTTTATGTCAGCTAGCCCATCAGATTTAAAACTTCTTAATTCTGTATACAACACTGCACTTCGAATCTGCCTTGGAAACTTCTTTTAAAATATTTGTCTCGAATCTTAGATAATACTGAAAATCCAACCTATAAATTACTATGTAATAACCTTTTAAACTCTCCTTCTCCCATAAAACTTCAATATATGCCACAATATCTTTCACCACATCTAAATAACATCGATCTTTAATCCACAACTCCAATATTAATATCACCTAAACCATCCTGGAATAAATTAAAGCAGATTTGAATCTCTTGTGAACTAATTATAATAAGCATCAGAAAAATCCACAATTTCTAAGGCAAACATTTAAAGAATTAATTGCTAACAATAGATTTGACCAAATTGTATACACAAATGGTTCTATAGCTGTTGGATGTGCTGTAACTTTAAACACAGATTTAATCATGTCTTGTAATCCTCCGCTCTTCTGCTGCATACATACTGCTGAAATATTCTCTATTCTCTAAGTTACAAACTTGCTATCACCAGGATATAAAAAAGTAGTAATATGTACACACTCTTTAGCGTCTATCTGCTCTTTCAAAAGTAGGTACACGGTACATCCTTTCGTTCAAGCTAT